TCTTTCTGGCCTCCGATCTTCGTCAAGGAATTTCCTAATTGGGCTTCAGAATGTACCCACCTGATCAGGAGACCCGTCCTTTGTTGAGCCTCCTTGAGGCTAATGAGCTCCAAGTTAGCTCGTTTCTCGGCACCCTTGATGCTCAAAACCTCCGTCTGAAGCTTATCATAAACATTCCGGGAATCCGAGATGATACAACCCGTCACCTTCGAGGCACAGCCCTCTGGGTCTCGAGCATCTGCTATCCCGTGGATGATTTCGCTCCACTGGTAACGGATGAAGTAAACGGTGTCCTCACCGTTTACTGCCGCCTGAGTCTCTGCGGCTCCAGGGCTCCGGCAGGTCCTGTCGATACGGTGTGCTCCCCATGCCACTATGGATACCTTAGCAAGTTCTCCCTGTAGCATGGCCACTGGAGCCATCCCGACCACCAGGCCCTGTGTGCTTCCGCCATCCGGCCTGTTCTGGCTGGCAGCGTCCACCCAACCAAAAACTCCTAGCTCTTCGGTTTCCGGAAACCTGTGGATTCGGAGGGCCTGTTTCTTTCGGGCTTTCACCTGCTCTAAGAGTTTGTTAGCTTTGTGGATGGTGTGCACAGTACTGCAGTTGATCTCCGACAGAAGGATTCCTACCTCCGCTGCTATCTGGGGTCCGGTTTGTTGCGCGAACCAACTTAGGGCTCCAAGTAGGGCACGGAGTTGACTGCGTTCCTTCTCGGTAGTAGTGTCTTGGGCCTCCCGCTTCCGCGAACTACTCACACCAATCTCTCGAAGATCTGAGATGTAGCGCTCCTGTGACAGGGTGAACCCTTCGTCATCCTGAACGACCTGAACCCCACACTGAACAAACTGCCCTGAATCCCAGTCTCCCCACTTAAATCACGCTTTGATCTTGCGAATGACTTCTTGCCATCCTTCATCATCCTCCCGGCCTGCAAACAGGAAGTCGTCCACATGACCAGCCACCATGCCTCGCAACTGGTTGTTGGGCCTCCATACCCACGAGCAGGCATCTGACCACAGACGTTCAAATCCTAAGGACTCCAGGTAGGTGGCCACGGTCTTGTACCATTCCAGTGGAGCGTCCACAAGGCCGTAACAGGCGCGTCTGACGCGCGTGATGCTTTCCTCTGGTATGCCCATGGCCTGGCAGATCTCCTTGCAAGGAATGCAGTAGAGCTTGTCGGGATATTCTCGGCCTTGCAAGAACGCTCCAGACACATCTCCTTTATGGACTCGCCATCGCTTGTTTGCTGATATCTGCAACATCAGTTGTCTCGTCTGGCGAGTCATAACTGGAGCTGTTGTAGCACGGTGTTCATACGCCGGGTCTTGATATCCAAGCAATACTGCCCGTGCTTTGGCCTTCGTCGAGCCATCATCTTTCTGCTTCCACGTCAGTATCCATCGCATAGATATCGCCTGGTCGCGTGCTGGTTTCAGCTCATCTGGTAAAACCTCAAACGCCTCCGCCGCGAGGAAGTTTTTCACTTCCGTGGCTTTTGCCGCCCGGAACTCTTCCAACTCCGCGGCAGACAAGCGTTTCTCGGAGACCTCCACAGCGCGCCTCTTGAGGGCGCTGGCGAAATAGCATGGCATGCTCTTGAGCATCTGCTCGACTCCGCGTCGGCTCTCCGGCAGTGGAATCTCCACTGCAACGGCAGCCGATTCCTCGGCCCAGTAGTTGCTTTCCTGCGGCCAGCTGTGTTCCGAGATGTCCGCCCACCAAGCGGGTGCCGCCTCTTCTCCACTCACTGGGCCTCTTCGGGGCCGCACCTGTCGAGAACTTGAGCTGGTCCCCTCATCCATGAGCTCCTGGTGGGGCTCCTCGCTTGGCTGTTCCGCGCGCTTGCCGCGATGTCGAAACCGGGGCGGTGCTACCTCGCTCTCGGGGTCCTGAGCTCGATGCCACTCATCCTCTGCGGGTATCTCCTGGGAGATGTCCTCGAACTGGCTACCGCCTATCTCGCTAGCTAGGCGGCTGTAGGTCCATGGCGTTGTATCTTCGCCATGCTGGTTTGCCAAGCCTTCCAGCAACTCTTCTCGAGGAGAAGCTCATCGTAGTTGCTCTGCGCTACACTTCAGCAGGTTCCGGCCTCTGACCACCCAAACTGCTCCTGCAGTCCTTTGCGCGCCGGTGTCATCAACCCGCGATTCCATCGCGAGTATCCTGGCAGGTCCCAGAAACCGCCCTCGTTTGCTGCCGGGCGAGCGATGGCCTTGAGAGCCATCCTGCGTCCGCCAGAAATACACCAGCTCTCCTGGCATGAAGTCTGGAAGGGGCTTCGGTCGAGAATTCCTGGCCCGAGACAGTCGTTGTCCCGCTTGCCAGTCCGCCAAAGCCTTCTCAGCGGCCACCCGCCTTTGTAAGGTTCGCTCGAAGTCTGCACTCGCGCTCTCCACCAGAAGCTCCTCCGGAAGCTCTTGGGGTCCAGGGCCCAGTCGCCCTGTTGCGTCGGGGCTCCGACCAAAGGCATGCTGGATCGGAGAGTATCCTCGGATCTGCTCGCGCTCATTAAAGGTCCGTATTGCTTGGCTCAGGGCCTCATCCGGGCTGACTGTGGCATCTGCGGCCACAATCTTGCTCATCAGTTCCTTGGTTCCCTGCACGGCTTGCTCACAGATGCCTGTGCTCCAGTGAGCATCTGCAGGAATCAAGTCCAGATGGATGCCATGGCGATCACAGTACTCGGTGATAGCCTGCCCACGGAACGCCCCGGCGGGATCGAGCCTAAGTGCCCGTGGTTGGCCAAACACCTGACTCCAGCCTTCCTCTAAATAGTGGATACAAGCTGGCCCGCTGGGCTGCTGTTTGCTGCCCCTGGTCAAGATTCTGGCCAAACGAAACCTACTTCCCTGATCAATGATCAACATGAACTGCACATGTTCTCCCGTTCTCTCATGTTTCCAGTGGCCAATGTCCGCTGAGATGGCGTGCCATTTCGGTGGGAGAACTTCCAAGGACGCCAAATGCCTACTACCAATCTGATGTCGCTCTTCACACACGGAACAACGGAATTCCTGTGCTAATTGCAGAACTTGGGCACTCGCGTTGCGTCGTTTTAAGGCATCCAACAACACGCACTTGCTGCCATGCCCCGTCGCCGCGTGAAGTAAATACAGTTGTCGTTTGATTCTCTCTTTCTCTCTCTCGCTCTCAGTCAGCGTGCAAACTCCCTGCTCTTTCTTCTTCTTCTGAAACTGGGGCTGCTTCACCACATGTGCTGATTCCGCTGCCCTGAGATGTTCTCCTACTGGCGTGCACACTGGAAGTCTGAAACCCAATTCTCGCAATTCCCTTTGCACTTCCGTACCTATGACCTTGCAACCTCGACTACAGTAGATCGCCACCGTCACACGAGTTCCCTGCCAGGCCTCGGTCTCGTGCCAGCTGGTACCCTGGAAAGACACCACTTGGTGTCTCGTTGGCCACGTGCCCGTGGAGCTCGCGGCCATTGTCCAACACCTTGCGGCTTTGGGTTGACTCTGTTACGGGAAGTCGGCTCTCTATCCAGAGTCCACCTCCTTCATAGGAGCCTAATCCCGCTACATGGTTCAGGGTGTTGTGGAGGTTGTGTTGGTCACGATGGAGTGGCAACTTGTTGTTCACACTTATCACCAAAGAACTGCCTTGCACGTCTTCCTTCTTCCAGTGTTTCATACATTGGTTCAAGTAGCGACACGTGTGCACAAGTTGTTTACTTCGATTGGTGACTCCATAATGGTTACCGTGGGAATACAAGCCTAAAAGCAAGTACTGCGCGGGTTGCTCGCCTAGCATCTTACGGTGCTTCTTCACGGGCTTCAAGGGAATCTGCAGGAGCAGGTTTTCACAGGATTCGAACGACCAGTCCTTCTGTTGTATGAGCCTCTTGGCCTCCTCCTCAATCGCTGGACATTGTTGTGCCCACAAGCTAAACTCTTCAGAATCACTGCTCCCTTCATCATCATCATCATCATCATCATCACCGGGATCACCATCACCCTCATCATGCACCACCTCTTGTTGCACCACATGTTCCCCTTGGCAACACCCACACGACAACTCGAACACAGGATGTCTGGTTTCCTTACACACACAGTGCTCTCCTACTCCAAATTGTTCTGGCAACACACTGTGTCCCTCGCACTCCTGGATGACTTCGGGATGACTTCGGGATGACTCAGCTCTTGAACTATCACTTTGGCAACACGATCGGCTAAAGCTTGGGGGTACACCTCATGTTGCTCAGACCTGTACGCCTCTACACTACCATGTCGATATCCTCGGGGACACCTACAGGGCAAGTCCAGGACACGAGCGATCCTAGCGCAGGTCGTCTGAACCTTCCAAGCCTGGGACATGAACTGTGGGGTCTTTGGATGCCTCAGTCCTAAGCTGCACGCCTTGGCTATACCCTCATAGAGGTGGTACCTTTGTGCCAATCTCTGCATCACCGGAAGTCGCCACGCTTGAGAGTGGACTGGCCAAACCCAGGAAACATGAATTCCCAGCTGAACACAGGTGTGAAAAACACAACAAGCTCCTATGCACTTCTGGTGGGCCTCCCTACGACGTCTAGCCAAAACCTCTTTCTGGGCCTCGTTCCGTTTCGTGAGGTTCTGGCAGGGGGAGAAAACTTCACTGGGAATTGCTATCCAAACATGTCGCGGCTTCTCGTGCCGCAGCCTAGCCAAAGTGAGCTTTATGCCCGAGCTGGTATGCAAGTCGCATCCGTTCCAGGACGCGGCCCGGCTCGCCACTTGCTCGTCTTCCGCTAAGCTGCAGACAGCACTCGTCAGGGTGCTTTCGACATCTTCGGTTATCTCAACAAGCCACTGTCGATCCCTGGCAACCAAACCCTCAAAAAGCTTGGGAACCACTGACCACGCTTCCTCTTCTATCATACGTGCCTTCCCTCGACTAAGCTCCAGGCTCAGTTTCTGAGATGCGCTAAGGCCTTGACGAGTCCTGAGAGTCACTTCCGAAGTGACCTGATCTACACATTCCGGCCCGTAGACCTCATTCCCGCCGTCTTCTCCGAGATCATGGCATAGGAGTCCTCGGTCTTGTTGTCCTCGTTCTCGACGGTCGTCTTCTTGCGGCGGGGCTCCTTCTTGAGATCGGCCACCTCCTCGCGCAACTGCTCCACCAACGAGGCCAACATGCTCACCTGAGAACTGCTCGCACTGGCTTCGCTGTCGCTGCAGCCGCTGGCCACACTTGACTTCTTGCTCTTGCCCTTGACCATCTCGGACGGGGGAACCTTCACCTCCTGGCTCGCTTCGGCACGACGAGCCATCGTCGTGGCCGCATGGCCCACTCGAGCTGGATTGTTTTCCAGCCACCCCGCCAATCGCTGTAGCCTGGGATCGGAGTCGGCCGCATTCTCGTTGGCCGTGGTGGTTACCCAGCGAGCGTAATCGGGATGGTGAGCTTTGATCTCCTCGTAGGTCAAACTGGCGTGCTTCCCGAACCCCACTAGGTCGGTCGGGTCTGGCGTACTCTTCTGGTAGATGGCAAACATGGCCTCGCGGCGCATCTGGTCGATCGTCATGTTCCGGTTCACGTTGAGGCGGAGAGTTTTCTCGCAGAACACAAGAAGATGGTCCTTCTTGCGTGCCGCGGCGTTCAAATCCTGGACAAGCTGCTGGTACTGCGACTTCTCCGCTCTCACCTTTGGCGCTGCCACAAAAGCATTCTGACCTGATAGTTCCTCGAGCCTCTGGAGCTCGGCTTTCGTCCAGCGGCTGGGGGGTGACTCCCCATACTGCTGAATCTTCGCACGAAGCTGCTGGTTCGTCATCCCCGACATGTTGTGTGGCTGAGGGAACAACACTTGGAGACTGCACCTGAGTAGGTTCTGAGTCTGAGGCTCTCGCGGCTGCAGCGCTGCAGTTGTTGTTGTCTGCTCTGGTTTGGGATTTTGAATAGATACTACACGTACTAAGTTTCGGGGGATCGGCTAAAATATCACTGTCAGCAGCCCTACTAGGTAGGTCCCTGACATGCTTCCCACATCCTGACATCACTGTAGCAACCTCCCTTTCAGCTTCAGGACAAGCTTCGGGGAGGAGATGTCCCTACTCATCGGCCAAGGTGGCCGACTCTTGTACAAAACTCTTCAAGCTGGGTACAGCTCGCTCTACGGTCGTGGCGTTCTGATACAGATCCTTGGAGAGATCGATGAGCTGATGGCCGGTCGATGACCTTTCCAGGGCGATAATGCGGTGCGGGTCCAACTCCCGCATGCACATCAAATCTTCACGAAAGTCAATGATCGCCCCCAAGCTGCGCAAAGCTGCGATAGACAGCAGGATCGGTCCTTGCCCCACGTTGAGGGCATGCACACGTAGACGCCCATCCTGGCCGCCTGCCTTCAACTGCATCTCCACTGTTGATGAGCACTGGTCCTCACTCGAGTTCCCGAAGTTGAAGGTAGGACGATCCGACACATCCACATGTTCCACACCGGTCTTGCCCGCCTGCTGCAGGTTTTGCTGCATGAGCTGCTCCAGTGCCGTCACCGAGCCTATTGACTTTGTGGCACCAGAATCAACCACACATTTGCCCTGCTGCATGGCCATGCTGGTAGGGATGCCCGTGCCGAGGGCGGCTTCCATGTCGTTCTTCTCCTCGGCCTCGCCGGCATAACATACGAATGGCGCTGACTCCTTCTCACGAGGCTTGGCACTGCTGGCACCCTGCGGGCAGTTGCTCATCCGGTGGCCCTTTTTCCCACATGCCAGGCATGTCATCTGACTGTCATCCCGGGGTCCTCGCGAGGACCTGTAGTACTGGCGATTCATCTTAACGCTGTGTTGCCTTTGCCGGGCATCCTTCAGCGTTCGGCGGGCTTGGTGAAGAGCCGCCAAGGCGGACTCTGCTTCACCACTCGCCTCTGACCACAAAGCCATGCCTTCGGAGTTCAGCTCATTCTCGGCCACGAAACTCATCTCTTGCATATCTCCCTCGTCGTCTGAGAACCGGTCATCATCCTCAGGGATGCTCCCCAAGTAGCTCTGTTGATGCTTCCTGGAAGCATCTCTCTTCTTGAGCTCCGCATCGGGGAACAGCGACCTCAGCTCCTTGATGATCCTGGCGGTGCCGTAGTCGCCACCAGCCGCCGTGACCACCAAATTGCGCTCTCCTGACTCCAGGTTGCTGTCCTGTAGCAGGATCCATCTCTGAACAAAATCTGGCAGTAGCTCCGGCAAAATCTCCCGAGCCGTGGGTGGCTCAGTCTCCCACTGGGGCCAGGATCCCCACTGCCACTGCCACGTCCAGTGATTCCATGATCGTTCCCCCGACCAGTCGGAATCACCCCATGTAGCTTCACTTTGCCAGCTCTCGCGCCGGGTAGACTGTGTGTCTGTGCTCTGGTCCTCGGTCGGCTCTTCCTCGGTCGTTCGAGCCTCATTCTGGCGATCTCCGGTCCATGACGACCAATTCCAGCCACCACCATTCCACCAAGGAGCTCCTTGATAGTAGGGCCTCCAGTCATGCTGTCGGCCGCCGTCTGAAGCGGTGCGGCTGGTCTCTGTCTCATGGACAGGCTTGAGGCGCTTCATCGCCTGCTGCGCCCTCAAGTAGATCTCCATTTTCCTCGACACGTAGCTGTTGATGGACTCACCATTGCGCCTGCGACTCTGACGGAAGTAGCGATGCAGGTGTTCTGTAAATTCGGGGATCTTGGGCTGTCCAAGCCCCACCCTCAAATGCTCGAGGAGCTTGGCAACGCCCCCATTGAAGGATAGCCAGTTGGCTGGCTGTCCCACCACCAATTTCCTCGCTGCTCCTTGCAGTTCAGCGACCAATCGGGGGGCAACCAAACTTCTCTTGTGATATGCCGTCGTCTGTTCATACAGCTCTGCTGCTTCTGCATATGCAGTGTAGGTCGACGCATCGCCGTCCCACACCGGCACACCTTCACGCGTGCGTGTGATTTCATCGGTGCTGCTTGCACTTGACATTCCTCCAGCGGTCACACAGCCGGAGGCCTGGGGTCCCTGGATCTCGAGCCGCTCCCGGGACTATGGAGACGGCTCCGCTACCATGCAAGTGCTACAGCACTTGCACGGTGAAGTCGTGCTCAAGTATGCAGAATGCAGACGCGTCGCCTATGGCACAAGGACTCGGTAGCACGGAGTCTAGCTTTTCCCCTGGCGTTCGCCTTGATCTCACATAACTCACAGCACACTGCGGATGAAGGTGTGCCTGTGACACAAGTATTCTCTTGATACTTGCAAACCCTAAACCCTAAAGCTTAAACCCTGAACCCCAGACCACAAAACCCTAAAACCCTAAACCCTAATTTAGAGAACTACCGAAATTGTTGAAGCTTGCGGTAGGGCCTCCGTAGGGCCTCAAGCATTCATGGATTTCGGAGTTTCGGGTTGGAGAGCTTCGAGGCTTAGGGTGTAGGTTTTAGGGGTTTAGGGGTTTTAGGGGTTTAGGGGTTTTAGGGTTTAGGGGCTTTAGGGTTTAGGGTTTAGGGATGCAAAAGGGTATAGAGGTTTAGGGTGTAGGGTTTTAGGGTTTTAGGGTTTAGGGGTTTAGGGTTTAGGGCTCAAGCTCCAGGATGTGTGCCGCAGTGACGAGTTGTGGATATTGGGTTTTACCTAGGGCTCTGAAATATCTAGGACATTTTCAGGTGGGGAGTTACCGTTATAGGAGCCTGATAGACGGTCTGTCTATGTACCTTATAGAAGCCTTACAGAAGCCCTACATACCCTAAACTCACCACCTGTAGTTTCATTTAGGCTTTCGGCACGCGCAACCCCAGGCGTGATTGGACCCACAGGGGTTCTGTCACTTTATGTAAACCTTTTCTCTCGCAACCCTACAAAAAATTGTAGGGTATACGGCTGATGATAAACAAAAATCCTTAGCATTACTTTGAGGACCTTGTAGACTAAGGGAGTTATGGTATATTCCTGATTATGGGTAATGCAGGATTTGTATCATCAACCTTATGACCCCCATTTTAGTAAGAAGGTCGAACCCTCAACACGGAGGCTTTGGGGATACCCAGACGGACATTAAAGAAGGTGGGGAGTTTAGGTTATATAGGGCTTCTATAAGGCTTCTATAAGGGTATATAGACCTTCTATAGGCTCCTATGACGGTAACTGCCTAAACCCTAAACCCTAAACCCTATAACAATAACTACCCACCTGAAAATGTCCTAGAAGACTCGGCTAAGGCCCACCATGTCCCTAGCACCCTGAAGTCGTCAATCCCGGAACCACAAGGCGTTTAGGGTTTGGGGTTTAGAGTTTAGGGTTTAGGGTTTTAGGGCTTCAGGGTTTAGGGTTTAGGGTTTGGGGTTTTAGGGTTTGGGGTTTAATTTTAGGGTTTAGGGTTGGCCCGATGTTCAACCTCAAGTTTTGCCTGACACCAGGGCGCTTGAAACCCTAAACCCTGAACTCTAACCCTAAAGTGATGAACATCCTACGACTTTGGATTGTTTTCGCTTGATGGTTTAGGGTCTCAAGGGAAGGTCTAGACGCCTTTGGTTTTAGTTTGTGTTTGTTGGTTTGCTTGAAGGGTTTAGTGTCTAGTTGGGTGTTAACCATAAGGCTCGAAATAGCCCAAAAAGCCGTACATGGTATGGTACTTGGGCATAAACAGCCTTAAAATATGAGTCCTTAGAGCCTTAGGGTAAGGGTTTTGGTCTGGGGTTCGGGGTTCAGCTTGCTTTGACTGCTGAGGCGTGCTGGGGCCTCCTGGGTGTGGTACATTGGTACTGTTGATGATATAAAACCCTTAGCACTCTCTTAAGGAGCCTAAACTATGGGAATTATGGTATCTTCGCTATTATGGGGAATACAGGATTTGTATCATCAACCGTATGTCCAAAGTATGCGCATTATCTTGCGTTAGTACCGAGTCGCTTTTTTCCGAGGAAGAATAGTCTAGGACATTTTCAGGTGGGTAGTTACCATTATAGGAGCCTTATATACCTTATAGAAGCCTTATAGAAGCCCTGTATACCCTAAACTTCCCACCTGTAGCTTCCTTTGAAAGAATGCAGAACATTGTTCCGTTAAGCCAACAAATTTCAGGCCCTGGCAGCTGTTCTGCCAGAACCCTTGCTTGGAGGTTCACGGGTAGTTATAAGTGGGGTCAGAAGTCCCGTCATATAGGTTATACCTATAGTTACCCTACTTATAGCCCGACTTATAACTACCCATGAACCTCCAAGTAACCCCTAAAATCAAAAAAGCACAAATGCTAAGCGACAAAGGCAAAACTGCGAGCCTTGATGAGCCTTGGTGACTTGGCTACCGGATACGACAACATGAAGAAGGATGATATGGTGGAGGGTATTACCACGAGATGGACAACATTGCTTTGCAATGTCCGCCACAATTATGCCGAGCAGGGCAATGCCTCTGAAGAGGGCGATGCTTCTGAAGCGGAGGGCAAGGAGTCCGAGAGTGAGCAAGCCGACGGCGAGGAGTCCGAGAGCGATGATGAGTGGGCGCGGACGGCTCAGCTTGCACCCCTTTTTTAAGGCTGTTCTGGACAATTCAAGCCTAAACCCTAAGCGGGGTTTGAGGGTTTAGGGCCAGAATCTGAGAACGGTATATTCCATACCACCCCCCGATGGTAGAAAATCCGGCTTCCCAAGATGTATACGAAATATATGAGCTTCAACTTTAAGCGGTTGAATCCGTCAATCCTCGTATAGCGACCCATGATATTGCAAATCCTAAACCCGAAAGCAACCCCAAACCCTAAACCCTAATTAGTCCCTACACCCTAAACCCTAATCAAACCCTAACTAAACCCTAATCCCTAATTGAACCCTAAACCCTAATTAGAGAAGTTGAAAGCTCAGGCTTTGCAGCCTCTTCGCGCCAGAAGACTGGATCCTTGGCGTTCTTCTGGTTGGCTCTTAGGACTTTAACTTTTGGGGTTTCTATATGAACTATATAACAAGGAGGCTAAAAGTTATACTTTTAGAAGGGGTTCAGCAGTCAGCCAAGGATCCTCCTCACTTTGCGAGTGGAGCTACACCACATGGCCTACTCCTTCCGTAAGGTCCGGCACTCCTTCCCAGAGAGCCCAATACCCCTTAAACAAGGAATATTTTTTAAACTATAGGGGCCTTAATATTATGATTTCAGGTATGTTCCTTAATTAAGGGCTTTTGGAGTCTCTGGGTTCTTGGGGGGAAAAGGGAACCCAGTGGGGTAGGCTTGTTGTTGGTTCTTTTCTGGGCCTTCAAGCGTTCTGCAGGGTTCTTGGGGGTTTATTTTTTTTAAGTAGGGTTTGAATGTACCTTGCATTGGGGTCCAGAAGAAGCATCTTGCCATAGTTGCCTTGCTTAGAACCCTGCTGACCGAGTACCCTGCTCCTTTAAGTGCCCTTCGCCCAGAGTCTTTCATCCGAAGCCCTGTATTGTGAACCGCCCTGCTTGGATCGTGGTCGGAGGACACTACATAGGAGGCCCCTATGGTTTCAAGATTCAAGAATCTCTCCAACTTTTGTAAACCCCTACACAATCTCAAACACAATCTAAATGATCTTACACCACCGTAGAAGACCCTATAGACTCATAAACCCGAGTGCCAAAAGAGTCCAAAAGACATTTCTATCATGGTCAGCGGGTCTGCGGGCACAAGATGATTCAACTATGTCAGCGTAAACCCCAAACCCTAAACCCCAAACGCTAAACCCTAAACCCTACAAGAAATAACATGCAACCTTCACATCTTTCCCAAAGCCTGGGAGCTCCCGAAACCTTAGCATAGACCCATAGGCTCCCTAGTAGTTCCTTCTTGTGCTTCATATCTAGGATCCTAAATAAGGTAATCCCAAAAAGGAACTACTACGGTTGATGATGTAAATCCTGCAATACCCATATTAAGGGGATATGCCATAACTCCCATAGTTTAGGGTCCTGAAGGTAATGCAGGATTTATATCACTAGGTGCCCCAGTAGTGCCCTTTTGCCCTTTTTAGTTTGGGGTCCCCTTATTAAAACCGAATATTAAGAAAAAGGGTACCCTTATTATTAAGGGGTTACTGGGGAACCTAGATCATCAACAGTACGAAGCCTATGTAGAAGGCCTCCTCCCGAAACCTATCTGAGAATCTGAATCTTAGTTTTTCAGATCCTGCAAAAATAGGGAGCTTAATCAATCTTCGTTTTCAGCTTCGTGCAAAAATAGGAGCTTAAATGAATCTTAGTTTCCAACATTCGTGCAAAAACAGGGGCTTAACTACGTCGACAGCTTGTTTGGAGGGGGCTCTCTGCCAAACGCGTCCTTGTTTTACAGCCCTGACAGTATACAGTGGAAGCCATGAAGTTGGAACATCATAATCCTCGTGCCCTTAAGGTGAAGGATAAGGGATCCTAGACCAAGCCATCCTAAAGCCATGTTTCAACGTTCTGGGGTTTTGCTGTAAGCTGAGCACCCTAAACCCTAAACTCTAAACCTAAATCCCAACAGTTGGGTTGCGGCAGCAGCCACCAGGATGTCACAGACGCCGACCTTCCCGGAATGCACGTCGACACCATCCCGTTCTACTACAACAGGCACTGGGTTTAGGGTTTAGGGTTTAGGCGGCAGGTGGCGACGGGCCCTACATCAGTCTTTGGTGGTGCTGGGTCCAGAGTTTAGGATTTAGGGCGCAAGGTGATGGTGAGGCCCTCATGCAGGAACCTGATCAAGAGACCATCCAAGTCATGAAAACACATGGGTTTAGGGTTTAGGGGTTTAGGGTTCTCCATACTTTCTGTATCTTGGTGACAAAGGGGGGTTCTGGCAGGGTTTCTTTCTTGAAGATGTTATCAGATCTAAAAGTTGCTTTAGAGGACCCTCTTCTAACCCTAAACCCTAAACCCAAAATTTTAAGAGCCATCACCCGAAGAATGCAGCGCGCATGAGCACCATGTGGCAAGAAGTCGCGAAGCGAAGACTCCCGCATCACTTCATTGCCTGTGGTAATGTCATATGCA